TCTGTCTGATAGTGAGAGAAGCTTTTCAACATGGCCGTTACTCTGTCTTCATGCTCTATAGTCATCTCAGGCTGATTAATAACAGTCGTGAATCAAAACAACAGTTTGTTTCTGCAGGATGATTACACTCTGATCCACATTTATCTCTGATGACCTGAGCTTTTGTCAAGCTGTTAAAGGTGATGAACCGTTATCATTTATATATGAACCTTTGTGTTTGATCGATACATCTGCAGTGGTCTCTAGTGGGAATGAATGCCTTGTAAGTCGTACTCTGGGTACAAAAAGCCCAGAAGCGCCTGTTTCAGATCAGAGGAGAGATTCAGATGACAGGATTTGGAGTCTCACTTCCTGATATTTGGACGTCTCGACTCTAATTGGCTAACGGCAACACGACTCTACCACGGACTCTGTTTGCTCTGCAATGTTCGATGTTTTATCTCCACAAATAACTCAAGACTGGAGGAGTTCTGGCGTGCGGTGGAGTTGCTAATGCTAACAGTTAGCCTCTACTAGCAGAGACGTTCTCAGCTGCTTCCTGGACGCTAAACCAACAACAATCTTCCCCGTCATGAGTGAAGATTGTGAGTCCATGAATGATAAGTGACAGTGTGACGTAGATCTGTCAGGCTTCATTAGGAACCAATGCAGGAGATCGGTGTAGGAGACTCTTTTCATGTTCAGCCTGCATCAAACCTCAGTGTCTGATTATAATCACAAATAATCATTAAAAAAGGTTTTTTCAGTGAACCACACATGTAAAGGCATACTAAGCAACTTTTTTTATATTAAAATCATGTTCTTGAGCTAGTCTGTTACAATGACCCTTTAGAGAGTTAATGCAAAGTCTCAGCTCCACCTCCCCTTTGTGAGCCGTGTACCCCGTTTATAACGTCAGCCTCTACAGACCGATGCCTGGAAGTCTCACAAAGTCACGTGTCTTTTAAAAAGCAGTAAAGCTTTATGGCAATCCATGTTTACACCTCCGAACAGATGAGTTATACCTAGTTTTGAAGTGTTTATCATCATGGTAGAGCCTCAGAAGAGACAAAGAAAACATTTATGTCAAGGAGGTAAGAAAATGTAAAGAACAAGCAGTAAACACGGCTCATTTGTTTGATTTAGTGATGAACCGCTCCTGTAATGAAGGCGGAGACATTTCAGCTGTTAGATTAAGGTGTTGAACGTGAACGCACAGTGAAGGGAGGTTTTTGTTTTTACAGCGGTGCATTAAAATGGACACTAGCAGGCGCTAACTGCTAAGGTTCCCTTTAAAGCAACACTAAATATTGTAGGGTTGGCAAGTTGAGTGCTTTAAGAGCTCAAGATATATATTACCTCTACTTATGACCAATAATCTCAACTCTGCTTGGTCTTTACTGTGTTTATCAGAAGATCTAGGATTCTTGCTTTATCAGGGGATTGTACACACTTCGTCTTGATTCAGAAAAGAGTCAGGTTTATAAAAGTAAGAATTTATTTTACAAACAATTAAAACATGACGAGTTAACTAACTTTTACTGTGATGGATGGATCTAGATGTGATGTATGAACCTAGGTGTGAATGCGATGTCATCAGAACTTCCATATCCAGGAGAGCCGAGTTCTGGATGTAAAAGAATTTGGTTTGCGTTAAGCTATGAAGTTGATTATTATCAAAAACACAGACGCCATCTGTCATGTCTACATACCCACTCGAAGACCCTCGTGATAGATCGGAATGTCGAAGTCCTCGGACTTCCCGGCTCCGAGGTCCGTAGAAGAAACTGCGGCACTACTAGACCGGTCTTATGAGTTGTCTCCAGGTCACGACAGACGGATGGAACCGCGCGTCTGGGACTCTGAAGGAGTCTAAACGACATCAGCTTGTTCTGCAGGAACCGTTTCTGTATCAGCTTCGCAGGTGCAAAAAGGTTTTGACGGCGTGTCAAAAGCTTTGATGGTTAAAGAGGTTTTGCTTCAGGTGGCCGGTCTGAAGCTTTCTCTAGAACTGCTGAATCACCAGAGTGATCCAGTTATAATCTCATGTTATGATTTGTGTAGTTCTCTAAAGGTGCATTTATACTTTGGTCAGACCGTCGGTCCTCGTGCTTCTGCTGCTGGAGCGACATGTCTGAGCTGCAGTCAGAGAAGATGTTTACCTGCATCCATACTGCTAATGAATCATGCATGCTGGAAGCATAGGTGTGTGTGTGTGTGTGGTCAGCTCAGAATGAAAGGACTACAGGGTTCGGGTTACCAGGACCAGACCGAGCCCACCGTAGTGTAAAAGCTCTACTTAGGGCATTTCCTCTGCCTCTTGAGGACACTCTGACTTCCTCAATCTGCATGTTATTAGTCTCTGACCTTGAGGCTTCAGTCTCTGTCTCATGCTTCACTCCATCATGCTTTTTAGATATTGAGGACACAAGTCTCTTCTCATACACATCACCCTCAACAAAGTTCATTTCTGTCTGAGTTGAGTATTCCACCACAGTTACAAACCTAACTAACCTTTGCA